AGTGAAGACACCACTGCAAACACCAAGCTCGACTGCACTGATGCTTTCCATCCTCATTGTTCTGCCTTGCAAAGATCCGCATACGGACCAGGAAACAACTGTTGTAAAATGAAGTTCAATTGGGAGCCTAGGCAAGAAATACGTTGGCGTGTTTCACTAGATAGGCTGAAGATGAATAGCTGTGCCGCCACTTCCTGAATATAATATTCTAAAGTACGCAACCGACTCCACCTCCCTTTCCATTGAATTTCTGCAATGTTTGAACTTTCCATATACTCGTGGGTCGCTCCACTGCCCCTCAAAACTCCTGGTGTTGCCCCCCGCTCCGATTGACGTCGCGGGATTCCCAAGTGGTCACATAAGGCATTCCACTGTCTTCTGAACACGGCATGGGATGCGGGAAACAATTTGGCATCAAGAGGTAATGCAGCGAACACACATTTTATCAAGAAAATCAAGCTTGCGTCTTCAATCTTCGCATGTTGTCTCCTTGCGAATCTCGCTGTTTTAGGATTTTTGATAAATACATATAAGCATGGTTTCTGAAGCAACGCATCCTCCGGGAACACGAGATCCCTCCTGGTTAATGCTAGTATTTCACTCGGGTGCAACATGCCCCCAAATCCAAGCACCACACTGCCTGCGAATGCAAACCATCCCCAGAGTAAGGACACTGCTATCAAAGCACGAAGGATGGGAGCCGAAAGAACCGCTCTGCACTGTCCTGGCTCTTCCATCTGCCAACGCAAGTCGACCTGCCATGCTCCGGCAAGGTGCCTTTTGAACTCTGGAAAGAATTGCTGCACGGCCGTGATGGCGTACACCAAAAGATATCGTGGTTTCCCATCTTTGAAAAGCTCAAGTCCGTATGCCCTCAACGCGAGATTCATGTTCTCTGCGTTTGCACAAATTGTAGTAAAACAAAACCCTTTTGCTGTGCACCAAAGTTGAAACTCATCAAAACACCGCTTCATGCGTTGTGAAGTTGCAGTTGCAAACCCGCCAAGTAAATCGAGTTCCCCTCGGGGCGTATATGATCTCTCAGCTGCACCGCCAAATTTGGGTCCGGGGTTTTGTTCAATATCGCCCGAAAGCAAAAGCAGGATCCTAATCCAACGACCGACGGGCCGAGTCCACCTTGCAAGCTCGATCATCTTGTCAAACGGTCCTGTATCGCCCTGTTCAAGAGCGAGCAGCCAGGCGGGGCGGGGGCGTGAAGGCCCCGGCACTGCCCGGTCACGTGAAGGCCCATCTGCTCTGTTCCACGACGATCGACAGTGCAAGGTTCCAGGGTATAGGCATCCGCCAATGATATATCCTAACGAGCTCCTCAAAATGCGGCTCAAAGATTTGGACGAGCTCCTCCCTTTTGCAGCAGCACCCATAGTGACTCTACTGTGTAAAAAACTAACCACTCTGCTCCGTGGGTGTTTCTTACTGCAATGCTTCAACCAGCTCTTGTATGTGCGGCATTCTAAGCAGTTAATGTGTCCACTCTTTTTGAACCGGAATCTAAACAGTTCTTTAAAAGGCATGCTTTCACAAATGTCCTCAACCCAAAGCGGGTCATCAAACCACTCCCGCTCCTGAAGACTG